AGTAACTGGGATTACAGGCACCCGCCACAACACGCAGCTATTTTTTGTTGCAGTTTGGCCAGGGCCAGGTTTGAACCCACCACTCACCCCCATATGGAGCTGGTGCCCTACCCACTGAGCCACAGGCGCCTCCCCAGATAATATGATTTCTTAATTTAACAGACCAATTATGTATTCATTCTTTAAACTATAATTCGCATTACTACAGATTTCACAGTACTAACCTGTGGTCATCTAAAATTTTATTTTCTGTGGTCCCAAAGTGCAAAATGTATATTTAAATGAATTGAAAATAAAGGTCCTTAATTAAAAGCCCCAAATACTGAAGAAGTTCAAGTGATTGTTTAAAGGAAAACACTTAATATACTTAACAATTGATGCTGATGTTTAATGACATATTTCGAAGTTCATATTAGAATAAATTAATTTTCTAATGAACTATATGTGGAATTATAAAAGTTGTAATAACAGTCACATTTGGTCATAACAGATTTGGCTGTCATATTTTCCCATCTTAGTTCTTTGTTTATTACATTTGCTTTATTTCCTAAATACTTTTTGTATTTTGCTACATGCTTGTTAAGAGGATTATATAAAGAGAAAATAACAGCTTTTTCATGTAACACATTGAGCCTTTTGGAGCTAAGAAATGAGGACTAATAATGTACTTACCTTCCTTCACTCTTCATTCCGTCCACTTTATCATGGAAGAGTAGATGTGTTGGGTTTTTTTGTTTGTTTGTTTGTTTTGAGACAGAGTCTTACTACATAGCCCTCAGTAGAGTGCAGTGGCATTACAGCTCACAGCAACCTCAAACTCTTGGGCTTAAGTGATTCTCTTGCCTCAGTTTCCTAAGCAGCTGGGATTATAGGTGCCTGCCACAACGCCTGGCTATTTTTTTATTGTAGTTGTCATTGTTGGTTAGCTGGCCTGGGCCAAGTTCAACCTGCCAACTTTGGTGTATGTGGCTGGCACCATAACCATTGTGCTACGGTGCCAAGCCTGTTTTTTAAATGTTTTTAGCTTCCCATAATAATGTTTATAAAAGAGTAGATCTGATCTGAAGATGCTGATAGTGTTTTTACAATTGTTTTCAAAACAAAAAGTTCTTGAGGGGGGGCAAAACCAAACAGTCGTTTAACGTACATCCAGAAATAAATCCCTAGATCTGGAACAATCATTCTCAGGCATGATCTAATGGATGTTGTATGTTTCTCATCTTCCGTGCAGACCTGTGGTATGGGTGGTCTCATTTGCTATCTCAGCTGATAACAAAGTTGTGAATAAAATTGAGTTGCTACCAGTTGATTATTTAATAAATGGTAAAGTGGTTCTCCCAACTCCCTTTATCATGCTGCCTTTTTATGTAGCAGTCTTCATGGAAGTCTTCCCTAGAGCATACTGGGATTGGATAGGATTATTGTATTCCATTTATTTGCACATAGGAGTTCAGCTAGTTGTTAAATTTAATGTTATAATACAAATGTTTTGCTTTTTCTTATTTAAGCTTTAATTTTTTTAGGTTCTCTGTTCCAGAATTACTTTCTGGGTAGAGAGACCTAGAAGTAAGAAAAGATAGGCTTTAACAGAACTGGAAATTTTGGCTAATTATGTAGTTCCTAGGTCATAGTTCAAAGAGGAGAGTTACAGTCTACTCAAATCTAAACGTTTTTTATGCTATTTGTTTTGGTATTTGTCAGTTTGTGTTTGCACAGAATTCGTGCCTCTAGTGTGTATAGATTGTTGCTGTATGGTTTTGTATGTTCCAATGTGTAGAGCCAATTGATTTTTTGATTTTAGCTATGTGAGGCCCAGAGAAGTAGTTACAGGGCTGGGTATGGTGGCTCATGCCTAGGAGGCTGAGCTGGGTGGATCTTCTGAGCTCAGGAGTGAAACTCTGTCTCTACTAAAAATAGAAAAACTAACCAGGTGTTGTGTTTGGGAGGCTGAGGCAAGAGGATCACTTATGCCTAAGAGTTTGAATTTGTGGTGAGCTTTGATGCCATGGCACTCTACTCAGGGCGACGGAGTGAAACTCTGTCATTCCCCACCCCTCGCAAAAAAGAAACTGGTCAGGCATGTGGCTTAGGCGTATAGTCCTAGCACCGTGGGAGGCTGGAGCGAGTGGATTGCTTGAGCTAAGGAGTTTGAGACCAGCCTGAACAAGAGGGAGACCCTATCTCAAAAAAAAAAAAAAAAATAGCTGGGTGTTATACTGGGTGCCTGTAGTCCCACCTACTAGAGAGGCTGAGGCCAGAAGATCACTGTAGCCTAAAAGTTTGAGGTCGCTGTGAGCTATGTTGCCACAGCACTCTACCGAGAGTGACAATAAAACTTTGTCTCAAAAAAGAGGGCAGCACCTGTGGCTCAAAGGAGTAGGGCGCCCGCCCCATATTCCATAGGTGGTGAGTTCAGCCCCGGCTAAAAACTGCAAAAAAAAAAAATTAAAGGAAAGTAGTTATTTGGATTTTACCATAAAATAATCTTACTTGCTTAAAACTATAAAAAGAATGCAGAATAAAATTAGCCTAAATATTTTTAGTTATAAACTTAGACTTTGAAAAAATTACAGTAAAACCTCCATAGTTGATCACCTCAAGTTGATCTAATTTTCATAGATGGGACATTCATAGACATCTATATCAATATAGTAGGCCTACCTAGTTGCTTATGTTGCCACCTCCATCTCTGCTTACCAGTTTGGTATAGTCCGTTGGGTGGTCAACTTACAGAGGTTCTACTGCATTTGCATCATGCTCTTTTGTGTGTGTGTGTGGTTTCTGGACAGGGCCGGGTTTGAACCCACCACCTCTGGTATTTGGGGCTAGCGCCCTACTCCTTGAGCCACAGGCACCACTCCTCTTTTTTTTTCTTTAAAGAAATTCTGTATTTCTTATTTTTTCTTTTCTTTTCTTTTCTTTTTCTTTCTTTCTTTTTT